TAATTTGTCTTATTTATATAACTAGTTTATCTTAGCTTTTTAAAAATAAAGTTTTTTGTCATTATATGTTTATTTTTCTGTCAGAATCCTTTACGCTTATGCCTTGTACTCTGAGTATAACTACTTTGAAGATAACTATACACAGTGTAATAACTATTGTTATTCTCTTATTAATGACTACAAAATTTTGTTTAAATTTTTTCATAAAATAAAATAAAATCAGATGTTAATATTCATGAATATTAATTAAGAGAGGTTATGTAGAAAGTGTAATTTTAATTAACCGTGTGGTAAGATTTATGTATCAGATTTGTAAATTTTATAGTAGAATGAATCAAAACCATAATAAGCTTAACAGGCCTCAGGAGTGTTGCCTCTACCCAAACGAAGTAAGTATGATCACAAATAGTATATGAAATATTAGATATTATAAAATAGTAAGTAGCATATTCAATTGGTTGAAATGTCTCATTTTGACCTTTAATTTAAATTTACCTAGTAAAACATGGTAAGCTCCTATGGAAAAGCTCTTCTGTGCCTCTGGAAAATGAATAAACTGGACAAGGAAAACATGGTAAGTAGTTGCTTTTCAAAGGGTTTATGCATGTGCTTTTCTGGTCCTGTTTTTATTCTCATCTTATGTTTTCTTCACACATACCCATAGCACTGGCATGGCCAGGAATGTAAGACAATCTTTAGTATTTTCTTTATATGTTAGTTCTTTTTTTTCACTTAGCCTTTGTAATAATTTTTGCCCTTTTTATTCCCGTTCTGGATATATCACTATATGTTTAATTCAGGCTGAAGTCAGATACTAAAGTATATTTACTAAGCTAAACCAAACCAAATCCATGAATTCACTGGGTTGAAATGATAATTGTATTTGGATTTTTTACCATGTATTTGGCATACCATTCCTTTGTCAAAGTATTTCCTTCCCAAATATGGCCTGCCTTTTCATCTTCCAAATGGTTTGTTATTCTTTTTCTTTACCTTTCTGATGCATTGTATAATTTCCATTATTTTTCACATGGCTGAATTTGTCTTTCCCAATTCCACCTAAAAATATTAAGCCTTTAAAAATGTTTTACAAGTCATCACAGTGCACTTCTTTAAAAAAGGAAATATTCCAATCTACGAAACTAAAGTTGCAGGTATTTTTTGAAATAGAATCTTGTTTCACTATTGTTTAATTGTTATACTTTTTTGACCAAATATTTCCACATCAGTGTTTCCAGAAGTGGAAGGAGTATCTGTCTCCATCATGTGTATTTGGCCTGCATAGGAACCACACACATCATACTTTTCTAAAAGCTCTCTAACTTTCCTTGATTACTAATTGTTTTGCATCTTAGATTCATAGATTTTTTCAGAGCTCCAAGTCATAATAATTACAACCACGTGATATTTCCTGGTATTATCCTATCTGTTAAGGTGATATTAAGACACACGTAATCCAACAATCTTCAAACAATCCAACTTCAGGATAAAGTTGAATTATACTCCCTATTTCCACTCATACTGAAAAGTGTCTTCAGAAGTATTCAAGGAGCTCGGGGGGTGCGTGTTTGGGGTGAGTTTCTACTCATCGCGATGAGTATTTCAAACCCACACTCTGTGCATTCTCCACTGAAGCGGGATCTAGTGACCCTGCATTTGTGCAACTGTCTTCTCATTCTTAAGCATGTTTTCCCCTTGGGTTTAGGATCACAGATACAAGACCACAACCACTACTTCTTACTGCTTCCCAAGGCCTTAGTGCTTGTCTTAGTTACTTTTCTCATTGCTGAGACAAAATATCCACCACCCAAAGTTAAAGGAGGACAGGTGTATTTGGCTCACAGTTTGTAGAAGTTTCAGTGCATAATCGGCTGGCTCCAAGGCAGGGTGGCACTGCAGAGGAGAAACAGTCCACGGCAGGGCAGAAGGCAGCCAAGCAACAAGGGATGACCACAGCTCTGTCTGCCCCTTTTATCTTATCCACGCTACTTAGGGTGGGTTGCACTCATACCCTCAATCCTAGTGCCTTTGCACTATGAATCACCTCCAGAGTCACACACCCTAGATTCAGGCACCTCTGAAAAGCCCCACCTGTGACTACATGAGGCTTCAGGGACAGCAAGGCACAAGCCTGACGCTGGCTGTCAACTTTTGCTGCTGAGGCTGCTGCTCTGGAAGCCAGAAGTGCTCAGTCCTTCTTCCTTTTCTCTTCCAGTGAGTGCGGTGTCATTCTTGAATCTTATATTCTGGTTTTGAATTATTTATCTATTTATTACTGTCAGCATCTTAACAGTGCACACACAGGCTCCTGTCTGCAGCAGTCACCCTATCAAAGTGATAAGCAAAGTTTATGTCTAATCCAGAAACCATGTTCATTTATCTTAAAAATAGAGCATGCTTGTTTTAAAAATCTGTTTTATCTCTCCATGGACCTCTGCTAAGTGCTCGTGTATGGAATTTTAGCACTAGAACATGCTTCTTCTCCCATTACATAGACGAGGGTTAATTCTTCTGGGTATAATTACAGAAGTGTAATTCACAATCAAATGTCTCTTAAAGAAGAGGAAATTCCCAGTCAAAGGAAGTTTATTTCAGAAGGGATGATTTACACACCAGTAGAGACCTGGATGGATGCCCTTTCGCAAGCCCAGGATCCTGTTTGCTGAGCCTGCAGAGTGTGTTGATTAAGTGGAGCTGCAGAAATCAGGCACAGTGTCTTTGTTCTAATGTCATGTACCAGCAAATCCTGACTCCAGCAACTTTGGTATCTAATACTTTGAATCAGACTAAAGAAACTACATACCTAAACCACTTTCGCTCAGAGGGAAAACTGCATATAATAACTGACCTAAATTTTATTTTTTACTCCAATTAAACACCCAACAAGAAGACTGGTAAAGACAGCTTAATTCTGACTAAATACCAAGCCAAATGTCTAAAATAAATTTAGTTGATGAGGTAATATTAATGATTTCAGACTTACCTGATGCTATTCTTTAGTATTTATTGACACATTTCTCAAGCCTCTGTTTAAACTGAGGACCATGTTATTCTTTTCAGTGACAGTGACGTGATATCCTGTTGGATTATTCATGTAAATGACAAATTTGCGAGTGTTGTATGTGTGTGTCAAATATTTTTCAAATGGCTTTATGAAGAAAATATTTTTCTTTATAATATTTTCTTGTGAATATATAATAACTGGTAAATTTATGTTACAAACACCAGTCGTGAATAAATTTAAATTCCATGGTCATGGGAAGGAAAGAAGTAGGAAAACTGATGTATCATTGCTTATTTTGAATATATTCTACAAGTACATACACACAACACACACACCACACACACACCACACACACACCCACACACACGCACGCGCGCATGTGACACAAGGCAAATTCAAACACCCAAACAACTTTGTTAGGATGAACCCACTTGTGAGACAGTGATTTACATTTGAACACAACAACAAAATTTATTAAAACCTAGTTCAAGAAAATGTGTTCCTACCCTAAGAGCTCTTTCTTGATTGCCAATAAGTACTTCAACTGTTTTCTCAAACTTAACTTCACCTTCTTTATTAAGATAATAGTTGAAGGGGGAGTCATTTTGTTGGGAGTCACTAGTCCATCTGTTTGAAATATTTCACATTTATTATATTCATTCTGGAAAAGTCAGAGCTTTCATTCCTTCTACTCTAAAGTAACCATATAACTTATCTACTTTTGCGAAGTACCTGACAAGTTAGAGGAAGAGAGGTTTAGTTTGGTTCACAGTTTCATTCTATGTTTGGAAGGCTCCAAATCAAGAAAGGGTAGCAGAAGAGCATGTGGTGAGCAGGAAAAAACGCTCAACACATGGTGTTCATTTACCTAAGAGAGAAAAGAAGAAGAACGGGGTGGGGGTGTGGCTTTTGCAGATTGTTCGCGGTGACCCGCCTCAGCACCAGGCCTTCCTAGCAGCACATTCCGCTCTGAACTCACCAGCGAGGTACCTTATTGGGGAGCCCAGCGGCCCGAGACCCAGTCACCTCCCGAAGCCCTGACTCTGAACACGTGAGTCTTTGGGGACACCATGGATACAAGTCATAATACTTCTGACGCCCTACCTCTGGCGGCAAAGTGACTCATGCCTGTCACTTTAGAGACTGAATTTGTTACTGAAGTCCTAACAATTCCACCATTACTGAAAAGTCCAAAGCCAAGCTCTCCCCTGAGACTCCTGTAAATGTCTACCTATGAGTCCCTGTGAAAGATCAGAAACAACTTCGTCAGCACTACTGAAATACAACTGCGCAGGGTAAACATTCCCATTCTAAAAGGGGGAAACAGGCAGACGAAAAGGAATGGGACCAAAGCAATTCTGAAACCTAGCAGAGTAAACATTAAGTCCTGTTGTTTCAGGTCCAGCATCAGGGCAGTTGTGAGAGCCACGGGCCTTGGGGCAGCCCAGCTCCACGGCAGCGCTCATCGTGGCCCCGTGGCCTCTCTCCCAGCGGCTCCTCTCACTGTTTGTGGTGTTGCTCAGCGGATGTTCCATGTTCCTAGTACTTCCAAGGCTCTGGGGTCTCCATGGCACTTTTGACTTCACTCTCACAGCTTCACTCACTGCTGTCCCAGGGGCAACCTGCCTGGCCTCCCAAGCCTTCCTCTGAAATCCAGGAGGAAGCCTCTCTGACTCTTGAATTCTGCATCCTTACAGGACAGACACCTCGTGGATAAAGCCAAAGTGTGACGCTAGCTCAAGCTGTAACCCCTGGGAGGTTCATGGGAGGTCCCAAGGCACAGGCAGAATGGCACAGGAGCGTGGCAAAGGAAGGGGTTCTCAGCCCACGTTTCAGGAGGCAGAGAGGAGGGGGCACCAGGGAGGGAGACACCTCTCGGGGTCACGTCCCTGTGACTCACTTCTTCCCACCAGGCTCCAACTGCTAACAGCACATTCAGCTGTGAACCCATCAGGATGAATCCACTGATGGCTAAGGTGCCCCACGATCAGTCACCTTCCAAATCCCTGCCTCTGACCACATGAGCTTTTGGGGAACATTCTATCTAAAACACAACAGTTACACTGAAGAAAAATATACTTGCTGTTACTTCATTCAAGAATCTATAGCAGTGAAGCACATTTCCACAATCTGAAAATCTCTGAATGAGATGCAGTCATTTTCTGCTTGTAAAACTAAAATAGTTGGACACTTTAACACAACAAAGACTAACACAGATATCATTTGCACTTTACTGTATTTTCCTTTCTTGTCTGAACAAAGGCCAGCCCCATGTATAAATGATTTCAAGCCAAAGTCCTGAGGGTTACTTATGACTGTCCATCTCGCTCAGCTGCCCACACAGGGTCCACTCTGTTCCATGTTTGTTTATTTCATTCCCATTGTGATTCCTGTAGTTCTTGGCATCGACTCCCTTGTGTAGATCTCAGTTATCCTCACTAACTTCAGTCTTATTCCTTTCCAGACAATTCCTATGCCATGGGAGAGTGATCATTACAAAATGCAAATGAGTTTGTATCATCCACTACATAAATTGTCTCAACAGATTCTCAAAACTTTCAACAAAGTCATTTCAAACCCTCAAACTCACCCATTCCACACCTCCTCAGTCACACCCTTTCTCCCCCCTGCTGTCATAGCCTGAGCTCCAGCTCCACGAAGCTCGTTCAGATCCTCAAAGGAGCTATTTCCCTTTCTGTCCTGCCACTCTCAGTAGCTTCCTCCTCTCACCTGGACCAGCATGGTCAAAGGAGGCCAGAACCAGCTGGCTAACAATTTATCTATGTTGCTGCAAGGACCTTGCCCTGGAACTTGAATCAAGAGGTAGCTAATCCTACCATTGACTGAGGTGGTGCTCGCATATGTACGCATAAACATGTGTGCGCTCACACACATAAGTACAAGCACTTATAAATATGCAGTTCACATATGCTTACATTAAATATATATGCATGGGTGTGTATACATATTTATATATACATCCACCCATACATCCATGTATACATATACAAATACAAATATAAATATATATATTCATTTTTTCAACAGGAAAATCCATCCTGCTTAAACTGAGAAAACCAGGAACTTGCAAAGTGTGAAACTACAAAAGTTTAGTTCAGTATTTTTTAAGACAGAAAAACAATTTCACATATTTTTCTACAACAAACTACTTAAATGAAGATGCTAGTGGATGATTCTTTTTTTACTTGCTGTCCTTACAAACTGTAAGTTTAAACTCCATGGCTTTTTCTTCTCATTAGAAAGTCACGAAGTTCATTAAATGATGTATTTAATCAACATAATCCTAAGCATGATGTCTGTAGGTGCAGCACCTAACAGAGAGACCAGGGATTACTATGACAATGATAGATCTTAAATCTCTTTTGAACATAGCTTTATGCTTCAAATTTAAAGAAAGCTTTAGAATTACTTAAATACATATGAAAATGGTTGTGTTGTCATCCATTCTCTTTAACTCTGGCTCAAGATTAAAAACCACACAACTTGTCCTTGCTTAGTGTTCTTTTGGTTGATGGGCAATATATTAATCTTTCAAAGGGATAGTTGTTAGGTTATTTCTTCCTGCTTTCCCTTCAATTTTGTTAATTAATGGTCAAGGTCAATTTTTCTTTTAATGCTCACATATTCTTAGTAGTATGTTTTGCTTACCTTATGTGAAAAGTAACAAAATCTGTGCCCTCAGTCATAACTAGGAGTTAAAATTAATAAATATATTAATAAATTAATAAAATTAATAAATTATTAATAAAAATAAAATCAAATTATAATACAGAACAGAAAAGTAGTCAGACACACCTTAGTTAAGTTTGCTTACACGTCTGGCTCAGCTTCCTCTTACCTGAAACACAAGCCAACACCCACAGCACGAAGGACAAGAGGTTCCATTTGCTCATGGTTTCAAGGTGTCCTGCACTGGCTCCTGAGGAAGGTGTCATAGAGCACAGCAGCAGGAAGCAGCCCTGAGGGAAGGGTGTGGATGCCCATCTGTGGTCCCCAAGGCCACCTCAGCATGACCTTCCCAGACATGCCCTGCTCTACTGATTCCTTGGGCATTTCTATTTTTTTTGGTATCGGGGATCAAACTCGGGTCCTTGTGCTTGTGAGGCAGGCGATGGAACCACTGGGCTAAATCCCCGGCCCCATCCTTGGGCATTTCTTAATCAAGTGGGGTTGGCATCTCAGTATTATTGGGCACACCATCTTTTTCTGTGGATATGGAAAACGTGCAACATAGAAACAAAATTAAACTTTCAATTTCAGAAGCCTGTTTTCTGTCTTTGGTCCTAGCTTCATGGTGTGGCTTACAAGGATTGTTATGGTTTCTGTGTCAGATTTCTGCATATGTTATTCAAGATTTCAGATCTTTCTGAAGGGGCACTCATATGTAAAAACATGTAGTCCAGCAAATAAGGTCACCCTCTCTGTCACTGTCTTATTCACTAAGTTTTCCCTGTTCAGCGCAGGCTGCATAATAAATCTATAACCAGGAGTATACCTGCTTTTATTTAACCAAGGAGTTGCAGCATATGAAGACACAACACTGTTTTAAAAATATTTCAATATATATGCTAATTTGTTTCTTTTATACAACTAGTTTATCTTTGTTAATAAAAAGTTTTGCGTCATTGTCCGTTTCTTTACTGTAAGAATCTTTTAGGTTTATGTCTCATCAGTGCTTCGCACGGGAACTCCAGTTGGGAATATTCACACTCTCAGTCTGGCAGCTCTCTTTTCCTCCTTCAGGACTTGCTTTCTTTCTTCATGGATTCTTCTTCGAAACACCAAGTGAACTACTGATCACCTTTTGCAAATACCACTGAGAAAACTTAAATGTGACTTGTTTGCAAAGCATACTTGCTTCCAGCACCACAGGTGATGCTGAGCCTTCCAGTAGGAATTATTTCTTCTAAAAGTAGAGTTGAAGAAGTCACTCAAAAGAATTTGGATGAATGCTCTATGTGGTATATAATCATGAATTTTTAAACTTGGGAGTCTTTTAGCTGTTCTTTTTGAATAAAGTCTACTGGAACAGTGTTCTGGGAGACTTTTCTCTCCGTGGTTAATTTGGGCTATTCTTTCTCTGGACATATTAAATAGTCTATGTATGATTATAGGTTAAATCCACAGTTGAGGTTATTTGTGTCAGTCATCACATTGGTATTTTGTTCAAAGAGTGTGTCATTATTTTTGGTTGTTTCAAATTTGGAGAAACTACAAATCCTTGTCCCTAAACTAGGATGTGTACACTCTGACTGAAGAAAAAGTATCAAAGAAAAAAATGTCACAGTTGAAGCAAAGGGACGTGATTTATGTGAAAGAAGGGAAATTCAAACAGGAGAAGCAGTGCCACATCACCTAGGGGATAAAACGCCAAATGCGCGTGAATTATCATAGTAAGTTGAGAAGCAAAAGCTGAATTAAAGTGGTTATGGTCCTCTTTCATAGAAACTTACAGAATTTGTTACAGAAACATGACAAAAGGTATTGAAGAGTAGGGAAAACGTCCCTGGGAGAGGTATGGGGCATAGGATGGAAGAAACATTTTTCCAGTATGTTTCTTAGGCAGTTTTGTGTTAAATCATACAAATGCGATACATGATAAAAACATTGCATTTAGATGAAAATAGAATTAAAACTCTTTAAACACATCAAAGTGTTCTCTATTAATAAGACATAGATAACAATGAGTGCTCCCCATTTGTAGTTAAGCTTATTTAATTCCCTTGCATTTACATCTCATTATCTGCCAACTTTGCTTATGTTTTCACTTCTCCTACTTTCTCTACCCTTTAAATAATTTCTGGGAAGACTTGACTCCTTATTCAGCAGGCAAGACACTTAATTACTTTCATAATAGTGATTTTAAATTATTTTATTATGTTCACAACACGAGACAATTTGCTTTTTATTTGTTATAATAAAGATTTCTCATTCATAACTACCTTTTCCTAAAGTAAATTGTAATTAAGAGTATTTTGTTATGCTTTGGACATATTAGAATTTTAAACTCAAAGACTATTTAATGAATGCAGGGGATGGATTAGAGAAACAGATGGAACAGTCAATTGGGACTGATTTTAAAACCTCAGAGAACCTGAGATTCAAGCAATGCCAGCTCAAACATAGCTTGCTTTGTTTCTTACTCTGCATTATTCACAAGTTTCTCAGAGCAATGTTTGAATAATTACTTTTCAAAGTATATTTCCTTAATCTCATATTTTCTTCCAAAATATTTTTTTATCAAAGAGGCTGCTATAAAATTCTTTCTGAAATTGCCATGGGAATGTTAAGCTATTTTAACACTACTTGAGAAGCTCATTCAGGCACTGAAGTACTTTCCCCCAGTTTTCACACAATTTGGTAAGGTTGCCTCCTTTGAAGTTTACTAACTTTTCTACTTCACAAAATCCAAGACTAAATCAAAGCTGTCAGTCACTAACAACTCCAGCACATAGAGTTGGTCTTGTATGGACAATCTGGGGTCATTTCATCAAAATTTAGGAGCAATTACAGTTCATCTATAAAGGAACATGATTACGAGGCTCGCTGGCAGCCAGACACACTTCTTTTAAAATACATGTCAATATTTTTATTTTCCTAATGTATTTTTTTTTTTTTTTGGTACTGGGGATTGAACTCAGGTCCTTGTGCTTGTGTGGCAGGCAGCGAAACCACTGAACTAAATCCCCGGCCCTTCCTAATGTATTTTAAAAATATTGTGTTGTGTGATTTATAAACAGAAAACTTCATTAAGAAAACAACTATGCATTTAACAGATAATTGTCAACCAGTGACACCTTGTGCAATGGTTAGTGTTGTACTGAGTTATGTTCTGGTATTGCTGTGGTTTTGTCCATTTTCTCTCTCAGAAACTTATGCGGAAGTTTACCTTCTATTGTGAGGAATTAAGAAGTTGCAAACTTAATTTACCTATAGTGTTCAGAGGTGGGACTTTAGGAATTTGGGAGCTGTAGGGTTAGGTAATTCCATCAGAATGGAGGTCTGTGATGAATACCGGTGACTTTATGAGAAGAGAGAGGAACAGGAAGCGGGGTACACATATTCCCATGCTTCCTGCCATGGTAACCTCTGGGTCATTACTCTTCTTCCAGGAGAAGGACATCCTCAGTCGCCATCCTTTGACTTTGGGCCAGAATAATGATCAAAACTAAGCCTCTTACCTTATCATTAACCCAGCTGGTGTATTATTTATTAGAAGCAGAAACAAACTAAGTACTGAATTTGATTATTTCTACATTTTAGTCTCAGGCCTGTGATGGAGAGGATTTTTATTAGTCTGACAGGAGCAATGCATTGTTCTCAATTCACTGTTCTTAAGGCAAATCATGGGCTTAAATTCTTGGAGTAGAAAATGCGATTACCTCATTGTTAACTGTGATTGTGATGTAGCCGATTGCAGATATGAGAGCGTTTACACACGAACACACAGAAAAGACATCAAACTTACAGCGCATGAAAAATGCTATGTCCATTTTCCTCTGTGTTATGTTGGTTCTCATTTTAACCAATACATTTATTTTATGAAAAGATAGTCTTGAAAATCTAAGATACTTTAAAATCTTACATTGCATAAACATATTATATTCTGTAAAACCCAATTGGATACAATAGTCAGACTTTGGCAATTATGTAGAAGTGACTGCAACAAATAACTGAGGAAGCCAAGCAAGGAAGAAAAGAAGTAAATCAAAGCAACATGCGATTATCTGCACCATGAGCCACGCTCCGCTTGTCCTGGCTGCTGAGAATTATAAAGTAAATTTGTTGTGTAATATCCACTAGATATACTTATACTCACAGTAGTCAAAGCCAGCATTAACATATTGTTTGTACTAAACAAATGTGTGTTTTAAAGTCTCCTTTATGTTTTGATTAGAAGCTCAAGTTTGGAACTTAACTCACTGATTACATGATGCTTTTACCCTCCTGGTCTGTACTCCACATTTTGAATATTGTTTTATAGAACAAAAGCTCAGAACTCTTAGAGTGGCTTTAAGACCAAGGCATATTTTGGTGGAATATTAGCAAAAATGTTTCAAATAAAGGGGAAATGTTACTTTCACAGTTTTGCACATACTATAAAATATTACTACATAAAATATATTTCATATATAGACTGTACTCAGGGTAACATGAGAGGCCACATAAAGATTCCTAGGTCCATAGAACATGGTGTGATGAGCATAACTAAGTCTACACCAAGGAATATTGTAATCAAATTGTCAGAAATCAAAGACAATGAGAAAATTCTAAAGCAACAAGAGAAAAATCACTCCTTATATGCAAATGAGACTCCACAAGAATATCAGGAGATTCCTGAGTATAGACATTAAAGATGATGGAATGACTCATTATCAATGGCATGCAAGAGTCAAGGAATAGAATGTATTGTGATCTTTTTTTATGACACTTAAAGCAAAGAGTGAGAACTTCCAGTCTCTGAAATCTCACTTCTAGGAAAGATCTGAAACTCAGGGTTATTCCGACTTCCTTCCTTGGATGATGGTAGTACCCCTAAACATGCATATTTCTGAAGGTACCAGTGAGCCTTTTGTATGTAATAAAGGAGCTTTTCCTTGCTACGTGATAACCTCCTTCCTTATCATTAAACTTTAGAATTTTTCTTGGCACGTGAAGTCACCATCATTCTGTGACCCCCTGCCATTGACAACACAGCAGTACGTGAACTCCTTTTTCTTGGAGAATCAGTACAAGAAAATATTTTCTCATAGTTTACACATATCAATATTTCTAAAACATATTTCACAATCACAATTTTTATTTTGTACTGAAGAATTTATATTGTCATCTTTCTCGTGTGTGTGCTAGCCCTATCTAGGCCCATGGCACCATTCCATATCCATTTAAAACTTCTACTTTTGTAACTTTGTGATACAGTCAACTCAGATAGGCTGGATTCCATCAGCTTCCTGTGTGACAGTGGATTATTAAGGTCAATGAAGCTGTGCTTTGTTAGGCAGAAGTGCAACAGTCATGATGGACGGTGGAGCAGAACTGGTTCACACACGGTGCATCTCTGCTGGATCGCCTGACAGAAGGAGGCCTCTCAGAGTTATAATATACATTGATATTGAGTTGTTCAGAGAATGCCAAGCTGAGCCTTAGTGAGTTGTCTCAGTCATTGTACACTAAACAAGGTGGAGCACTTAGAATCCTAGGGGATGTCCGACAACTGCTTGTAGCAAAGGAATTCCATGGCATTTCGAATACCAAGAAGGCTTGAAGGTAAAAGTGAGACTGATGAAGTGCTCAGGGGATGGAACTTTGTGTTTCTTTCATTTTGTTTATCTCTCCACACCTTACATGGTGTTTTTAATTTTGCCTATGAGTGACTTTGCTTCATTTTGATACGTTTTTTAAAAAGGAACTTTTAACAAGAATTCATCCAGGGACACGCTTTGACATTACGCTGGGTCTTGGACAGCACTCAGTCACCCAGAGTACTCGCTGCCTCTAACCCGATATTCCCGTGGGAGATGTGGGACCTGCTAGGCACTGAGAGAAGTCCAGAAGACACATATTTGGAGACTCTGACTGGAAACATCAGGTAAGCACAGGAGCCTCCTGCCTTGGGTACTCTGGGGGGCTTTGTGGCTAAATTTGTTGCAAAGTCTTTAAAGCGAAGCTGAGCTCTGTGCAGTGCACTTGTTTGGTTTATGAAGGCATTTTTCGCATTTGGCCATGCGGCTGTCCTGCTTCCACTCCCTTCCAGCACATGCCTAGACCTGTTAGCTTCACATCAGGCCCCATCAAAGAGGGTGTTACTCAGGTGCAGCAAAAAGGCTTTGTGATCATCCAGGCATTAAACTGCCCATGGAAATCTTCATGAAGCTTAGGAAATCACAAAAGAATAACCTAAGCCAAGGCTTCTTGGGAACCAAAGACATTTCCATTCAAAAATAAAAAGGACTTCTTTCCTCAAAAGAGCTTTCACTTTCTGAAGAAAAGTGAAAAATTGGTTACAGTTTTCAGGAAATTCAGAAGACCTGACCTGCCTTTCACCAATTATCATTATCTGACGAGGGCCACACAGCTCATGTGCACCTTGCAGCACTCTGTTATCAAGTAGAAGAGTCCTACAGAACTTGGAAAGTTCAACCGAGTTCCAAGAACACATCGCCACCTTCCAACATATCTTCACAAGCGTTCTACTGTCTCTGCTTCACCCAGGCTCCACCTGTGGCCCCCTGTGAGGTTTTGATTTTTATTCTGTGATGATTAACAGACAAAAAGAATCTTATGTATGGTGTGGCGTCAGAACCTGGCTTATTGTGCTCCCAGATGACTGCAGAGAAGGAAAATGTCCCAGTAGGTCTAATTTCAACTCTTCATGTTATATTTCTTACCTTGCCTGACAGGAGAAATAGCTAGAAGAATGCATCTCTGCCATTTGATAACTAGGTGTAAAGGTTTGTTCTGAAATGTTGAAAGCATATTGTCCATTTAAAGGTTCATTCACAAAGTCTAATCCGTGGGAGACACTTTATACCTGGGAAATATATCTACAGTAATAAAAACCCACACACATATATACATATACGTATTAGCCACTCACCAAGCACTTCTCCAATAGCAGCAGAAAGGGAGACAGGCACGGTGTTGCTCTTCCTGCATTCCCACATGAGTTAAAATGTATGCTCTTCACTTGTCCAGACTCGCCTGCTCTCTGGCTAGGACTAAGTCTGCTGTAACCTTAGCCCCCTGCGGTTTAAGGACATGAATAAGTGGAGCCAGGAAAATAACACAGCTTTTGGACCAACTGATTCAAGCAAAGGGAAGTCATTACCGGCAGGCAGTCGTAAACGTGCTTTCTCCTCCACTGGAGCGGGCCTCAGTGCCCCGTTGCATAAGTGTCCAGCAGATGTGCACCCCCAGGAGGTCTGGGGCCCTTGCACCGTGGGGTCTCGTGGGAGGCCTGTGGCCACTGTGCTGCGTCCTTGGAAAGGACTTGCAGGACTCGCCGATCCTGCACTTCCTGGATTGCTGGTCTCTGGCTGAGAAATTCTGCTCTGCCGTGCAAGGCCTGGGGATGCTGCCTGCCGTGGGCTCTGAGCCTGGGTAAGCTTTCTGTGGACTGGAGGGCCCCAACTGACCTGACGTGAATTTTCCTCTTTCTAGGTTTGTTGTCTCCAGTGATAGCAAGGCGAAGCTGCCTAGCTCACTCGTGCACACTTTGACCTCCACAGATCCCCATTTCCTGTAGGCCGTGATGAGGTGTGGGAGAGGACATCATTCACATTTATGGAGCATCTTCTTCCTGGGAACCAAATAACTTCTGTTTGAACTACAAAATTCAGTAGATTGTTTTTGTTTGCTTCTTTCTGATGTAATAGGGAGACAGCTGTTCCGGCTGTAACTTCGCCTGGTTTCCTCCAGGGACCAGTCTACCAGCTCATGAGGACTGGTTAACTCTGAACTCAGACCACTACCCTACTCGGAAAACTGCAGGGGCTTCTTGGATATCTGTGTTATTTAGGGTACCTTATATTTTAGGACAATTTCTATCTTACACACTTTCCAGTTTCTTACACAGCGTTGTTTAATGCTATAAAACCTGTGCAGTTTCCCCCAATCTAATGCATTTTCCCAGATGAGTAAGAATTTCAGGGCAGGCTCTGGATGCACCTTTTCTACTGAGGAAGTACTAGGTGTGCTTATTTTTTCTAGTGCTCCATATAATGTAAAGCAATTAAGCAGCAAGTTCAATTTTCCCAATTGTATTCTTATAAAATGATTGTTTCATTCTCAAAACATACAAATCATTGGTTTATCCATCAGATATTTAAGTACTTACTTTTTGCTTGGAATGCTCTAGACCCTTAGACTACCTTCAAAGATAGGAGAGATGTGTACTTCTGTGTAAAAGAGAAAGAGAAATTTTCAGAAATGAAGGTGGAGAAATAGAGTGAGACCGAAGTGTAATGCAGTCATGGTTTGTTTTTTTTTTAAAACTAATATGACTTCTCCTCTAACCTTTGGAGGGCAGAAAGATGTAGCAGACATTTCCCCCATTCATTTTCAGCTGATGATGCAAATGTGATTTAGATTCCACATTGCATGCAATCACGTGAAACTTGAAATTTGAACTGAGATAAATGGGTTAAGGACCATATATTTTATCAGTGCGGATTACAGCAAGTGTGGGTGGTTCTGGAAGGGAAGTCTGTCAAGTCTGTGTCTGAGGCTGCCTCAGTTGGCAGGAGTGGCCTTGGGACAGTAGAAAAATGTCCTGGGCGGGGCCCTGCAGTACCATGCAGCCCCCTGACCTTGCTTGTGGTGTTTCCAGATCAGAGAACAATGAGGCTGTTTAGAAACAGTGAAGGCTGCTAATTTAGCAGCTCAGGGTGGAGGCAAGTCTAATATTTATACACTTGATAAAAAAAATACCTCTCGATTTGACCAGCAGCTTCCTGATCATGTCTGGACAAGCAGCTCCTTCAGCAGCCTGGCTGGGCAGTATGGACCTGGTGCAAATCCTGGAATATGTCCCAGGCCTCCTTCAGACCTCCTTGGGCCTCTGTCAGCCACTGGACCGGCTGGTAAGCCCACATCTACTCTAATCACGGAGAGTAGATTCTTTCGTCAGAACCTTGGTATGCAAGGTTCCAAGAGGATACAGGACATAGAAAAGGGTAATTCTGAAAGGCTGTCTTTATAGTAAACCAAGGAGTTGTGTTAGATAATAATTGACATTGGTAATAGGTATTTCTGTGTTTCTCATTTCCAGTTAGTTTTGGCTGCTTGCCGTAATTATTCATGTGTTGCTTTGCAATCTAGAGTAAAGGTGAGAATAGATTGTACACTCAACCACAACACCTCTGAGAAAATTTGTCCCAAATGACAATATCATTTTTCTAATTTGCATCATTTGATCCTCATCATTGTTATAATTATTTCAATGTAAACTAAAAACAGTGAATTCTCCTGTGTACATTCCCCTTTTTTTCTACTTAAAAATACTACTGCACAATTTTTTTACTTCATTCCTATTTTGAAAAAAACTACATTTTTTTTTTCAGTACCAGGGATTGAACTCAGGACTTCGTGCTTGTGAGGCAGCACAGGGCCACTGAGCTAAATTCCTGGCCCTTGAATTTTCAGTATTTTAATATATTTTGTCCTTGCAAACTCTAATACCAGTCATAAATTTGGATATAGATTTTCTTCATTTTTATAAGATGAAGTATGTAAAGAATTTAAGGTATTTTCTAAATTTCTTTGTTTAGAAAACCTTTTGCCTGCTCATTTCTTTTCAATAGATTATGCAAATAACTTCCTGATTATTTAAATAACTTTTTAAGAAACTAACTGTAAAGTTTTTATTAAGGCAATTTTATAGAATAAAGCAAGTCTGTACAGTGTATCTATGACGAGAATTAATATTTAACTCTTATTCCTATTTGCAATCTGGGCCAAGCTAACTAACCATAATATTAGTTCATAGTTGGTTACTGTAGGAATTAGATGAACACACAAAATACATGAGAATTTTATAAGAAATAAGTAACTTGGAGAAAAATTGCACTGACATGGAGGTTATACCAACATGTAACCCCTTTAGTAACAGGAAGACTGGAAGGAAGAAGCAACAGGAACAGGTGTAAAATATTTCTGATGGGCTCTTTCACATGGTCAAGGAATGAGAAAAGAACGCACACTGCCAAGAGTCACAGCACACTAAGCAGCCAACAACAGAAAACTCCATACCTGAACTTGCAGAAATATGAAGTAACTTGGGCCAAAGTTCATACTGAGGAGGAGCAAACTTACTAATGGAAACAGTGGCTGTGAAAAAAATGGTGGAGAAAATGTCTCAAAGAATTGAGGTTTCACTCTTCCGTTGTTACGAAATGAAGACCACAGTAACCGTCCTGTTATAAATAATGAATATAAGTCTTATATTTTTACCAAAGACAACCTGAAAGGAACTGTGTTCTAAGGTTGAAAACTGAAGGACTAGTGTAGGGAACAACGGGGATATAGGCACATGAAACATGTTTGAAGAATCAAATGTGAAGGGAAACGTGCGCTCTGCAAAACTCAACCCGAAATTATAGAAATCATCAGTATAGTCTTGGGGAAGCAGAGAAACATTTAGTATGATAAAACACACTAAAGCTCTTGGCTCCATTTGCAAATTTATATGCATTGATAAATTTTACCACTGAACATGAGTACAAATAACTCAAATATAGGCCTAATCTTGATCTAGTCACTAAAGAAACGACGTAAACAGATAGATATACATATGCAATTAAATCAGCAAGAAAATAAAATACATGCATGGAAAAATAAAATAATGCCCACCGATGTGTCTCTGAAAAGGGTAATTACGGTGAGCTCGGGCTCAAATTCGCCCATTAAAGCGAGGAAGGCGGGGTGTCGTCAGTCTGGTATTTCTGAGGCTTCTGGAAGAGCGTGAAGAAGCTGTGAAAACGATGTCCGGAAAACACACACGAAAAGCAGAAGCTTTGACCTGGACCCATGGCCCGGCCGGCCCGGCCCGAGGTCTGACACAGGCCAGGACTGGAGCAAAGGCGGCCCGGCCTGGGAACAGCTGGCTCCGCTCTGAGGCCGGAGCTCCTCCTGCCCTAGCCTTACAGGAGCACGCCGCGCACGTGTGTCACCAGAGCACATGCGACTTCCGCATGCACGCCCGACGCAGCTCTGCTGCACATGCCATGAAGAAAAATTATACAGTGGAATATGTAAACTACATCAAAAATCTATGGAATTGGGCCGGGGATTTGGCTCGGTGGTTTCGCCGCCTGCTGCACAAGAGCAAGGACCCGAGTTCGATCCCTGGTACCAAAAAAAAAAAAAAAAGAAAGCAATAATTTATGATCTATATATGGAATATGTAAAATCGATACCGCACATGTATAGTAAGACACGTACATCTTTCTGAGCCCATACATATGCAGTTTATATATATATGTGCATACACGTGTATGTATATGTATATAGTTTTAGCATACATATATGTGGCCTCAGCCTTATATATATAGTTATATATGTAGTAAATTTATATGTTCTTATACTATATATAACTTAATGTATATAGCTATAAGTTAAATATATATACATTCTGTACAGTTGTGTATATATGTATATATATATATGTGTATTTCTAAGGCCATGTATGATCTTACATACATATCCTATTATTATGGCTTTGGCCTTTTACATATAGTGAAAGCCAGCAAGCCATGGAAGTCCTCATTTTGGTCCTCTCCTCTGGGTAGGTGTGGCAGGCCTGAGTCCACAGCACTCATTCAAAATGAGGGCCATGAGTGTGAAAGTTTACACAGTACTTGCCAGAGGGGGAACTGGTCCTGCCCCTACAAGGGCAGTCAGAAGGAATTGTTCTGCAGAGGAGCTGCTGGAGTCTCTTGCAAAGGAGACTCTTCGGTTAGGACATGTTAATTAGCAATTTAAACCAGCTGCACAAGTGAAAGTGAGGGTCTGAAGATTAAGTGGGACTTCTTATCTCTGCCATGTTCAAAGCATTCTAAGGATCTAATTACGGAGGAGGGAAACACTCTAAAGTCACGAGAGAGAATTATGCTGCATTAGAGTCAGGCTGTTGGCCAGGTAAGAAAAGGTGAGAAATACAAGGAGCATCCAAATCCCCCTCAAAATGCCATGGCTACCAGTACTGTCCTCTGCCCTTTGGAGACAGAAAAGAGCAGAAAGATTTCCTGCTCTGGGACTGCTTAGTGAGCCTCACTGGAAGTGGACCCTACCCAGGATCCAGCTGGCTCCTTGAAGATGGTCAAATAACACTTGCTGTCCTCACGAACACAATGAGGCCAGAGTTCAGCATCACTCAACTTGGGAAATATGGACTCAGCTAAAAAGAAATCTCTTCCCACCATAATTGAGAACAGTCGCTTATTAGACACATGCTGCACATAATGCGTATGGAGAGCTACCTTACCTTTATGGAGTTAGAACAGGGCAGGAATAATATAAGTTAGAGAAGGTAAATTTAAAAGGTAAGCTCATCTTTGATTAAAACTTCAGTGTTCCATCAAGGACTGACCCTACTCCCCTAACACACTGCTGTGATCTCATACTAACCCAAAACATAGCTGTGCCCTGCTGTAAGAGAGATTAAGATGGGGCCAGAGCATCCTTGTAATATTTGGGAGTAGGGAAGGTAGAGTGGACTTACGGTGCCAGACACTGAGGAGCGTACTTTTTGAAAGGCTGCCCAATACCTCATTGTTTCTATCTATGGCCATTCACCCACCAACAGACATGTGGGTTGTTTGCTTGTCTTGGCTGTTGGGATTAAGGCTGGTATGGATTACCGCTTTGCGGAAGTAATGTGCTTGCCTTTGGGTATATGCTCAGGGTGCAATTCTTGATTGCATGGTAAGTCTATAGGTTTTTGGTTTGATTTTTGAAGAAACCCCATGCCGTTTTCCATATTGGGTACAGTAAGTTAGATTCCCATCAGCACTGTTCAGGGACAGCCTTCTGTCTACACCCAAAGCAACATTTGCCATCTTCTGACTTTTTATAACAGCTGCCCTCTGCCCGTGAGATGTCCTGTCTCATTGTTATTTTCAAATGTGTTTCTTCAACGGTCAGTGTTCTGAGCATCTTTTCAGATACCTCTCAGTGATTGTATGTTTCTTTGGGCAACAATACCTGTTCTTTGTCCACTTTTAGCTTGGTTGTTTGCTTGTTTTTCTATGGAGTTGTATGAATTCTTTCTACATTTTAGATATCAACCCCTTATCAAATATGTTCTACGCAAATATTTTCTTGCATACTGTGAATCACCTTTCTTTTGCTGATTGTTTTCTTTGCTGGGCAAAGTTGTATTAGTTTGATATAGTCTCATTGTTTATTTTTCCTTTGTTTTTCTATTCTTTTGGCGTCATATAAATATGTCATTTTAAAGCCTTATGTTCATTACATTTTTCCTGTTTTTAAAAATTTTTTGAGAACTTCATAATGATGTGGTTAAACCTGAGAGATATTATGTTAAGTAAGCCAAGAATAAAAATTCAATACTTCATGGTATCCTTTGTTCATGAAATATAAATTATTTCAACTCATAGCAGAGAATAGAGAGGGAGCTATCAGGTGCAGGGCTTAGGAGAAGCAGAAGATATGATTCAAAGGGTAAAACTTCCAGCTATAAGATGAATAAATTCTAAAAGCATCACATACAGCTCATTGACTATAGTTAGTAATAATAATACTCAAAATATATTAAGAGAGTATATTTTAAGCATTCTCACCACTAAAAAGAGAAAATTATGCTATGTGATAGATATACTAATCAGCTTAAGTGTGGTAAATAGTTCACAAGTATATGTATGTCAAAATACCGCATTGTATTTCTTGAACATATACAGCTTTTTTTGTTATTTACATCGCAATGAAGCTGGAAAAAGGCAACTGAGGAGTTTCTGCTGTCTT